GGGATTGAAAAACGCACCCTCTGTGAAGGCAAGCAGACCCTGCTTGGAGAGCCCGCTTCCCGAAACACCATCGGTCTGCTGAACTGGTGCTTAGATACTGAAAAAACAAGCAACTTCATACTGAAGACATCGTACTGCAGAGAAGAAACTGAAATCCTGAATGGAGTACTTTGGTGCTTGGACTGATAAGTCAGTTTACTGATTTACAACTGTTTATGATTCCTGCTACATTCTCATTTAATGTCTAATTATATTTTTAGAGTGTACAAAATAATACTGCCAAATTAAAGTAAAATAAACATCTGTTAATCAAAAATTAGGTCAACTTCAATTAAGTTATTCTGAAGGGGAAATGCAGAAATTCAAATGAAAAGTATATTAAGAAAGAGATATGAAGCTCAAGCTGCAGAGACCAACAATAGATTGCTTAGTGTAAAAAAGGGAAAATACAGTCCTGGCACATACTCACAAGACTGTAAGAAGAGAGAGGCACATATTCCCTTCCATTCAGTGCTGTTGAGTTCTAAAATCTGGTATTACATTTAGGAAAGAAGAAAAACAGGAGATAGCTCAAAAGAACTAAGTCAGGTGTAGAACAATGGGCATGTAAGGAAACACAGAAATAAGTGGATCAAGTTTTTAATTGAAAGCATAAAAAATGGAGACCACTCTCCACTTTCACTGTTGGAAATTTGTGCTGTTTCTGATTTGAATTCCTGTGGCTTTAATTTCTCTCCATTGCTTCTTGTTATGGCATTTTTCATTAAATTAAAATGCCACTCAGTACATAATATATTCTCATTGCAAAGAACCTACAAACTGTAATCACCTTTAAACAGTTTTTAACAAATTAAATGAATAATCTCTTCAAGCATCTCTTAATTTCAAACCATTTATCATCTTCACGCAGCCAATCCAACTTTTGATTTCTCTTTCAAAACATATAGTAGCATTATATGCAGTGTCCCACTAGTTGGCTTAAAATACTAATTACTGGAGGCAAATTACCTTTTAACTACTGTTGATTCCTCTCTTCACACGTTCAGGAATGACATTAGACTTTTTCACTTCTACATCCTCTGGCATTACACTTTCAGTTGTTGTTCACTGACCTCAATACTTTAGCTAAATGTTCCAGAATGCCGTTTCTCTGCTTGTACATCTACATCCATTGCTTCCACATTTAAAGGACTTCACTGTATTAAACTGCACTTTGTTTCAGTGGGTCAAATACACCATCTTTTCCACTGATTCTAAGTGCAACCTTCAGCCTAACACAGTACACAGCACTTCCTTGAATTAAATAGAGCATAACATAACTTTCAGAAAAATATCCAAAACTGTTTTAAAATGTGCACTAAAGAATCAATAAACAGCTCAAGATGAAACTTGTTTTAGGGGACGGTTACTCTTTGCTTTACTGCCAGTCTGGAAATGAATAGCTTCAACATCCACTGGGTCTTGTTACCACTGTCTGCTTGACTGAAATTATCAGGTATATTATTATATTTACACATAACATCTGAAAGCCAGCAAGATTTTCCCCCTGAACTGCATTTAAGAAAACAGAAAACTGAGAAGGGAACATGGTAACAGACAGTAAGTTGCTTTGTGTTTTGGAGTCATCATTTCAGAGGGATTTTATTCCACATAAAGGGAAAATAAAACTATCAGGCACCACATATAGTCCTTACTGGGCCCTGTGCCCCCCAAATTATCTTCCCTTCCACATTCCACACAAATTATGGATATCTCTTCCAAATGAAGAAACCACTCCTAGCAAAAAATACTCTCAATTTTATTTTGGAAGAACCAAAGTGAGTGAGCCAACAAAACAGAAAACATACACCCTTTGCAGACTACAGCGCATTCAGGATGTACGCATAGGAAGCTGAATGCATTCTGAAGTGTAAAAGATAGCTGACGAACTAAAATGTGATAGTGACTCCACAGAACATTCCAGTCAGTGGCAGAGAACATTAAGGAAGGGCACAGGCAGTCGGTACAGCCATACAGGCACTCCATGCATTATGTATGTGAAGAATGGGATGCAGGGCACGGGCAAGTGTATCACATTAGACTGTCATGAAGCGCATCAAGTACAGAGATCATACTGTCTCTACTCCTCTGGCATTTATAAGGACAAATTCTTGTTACAGAAACTTATACAAACCTCATTTTTGGACACCCAGTCTTGTACCCATGTACATCAATCTTTAAAATATCAGAACATCCTTACAAAGCTGTCACTCCCACCAGAAAAACCAAGACCATCTCTAGGTGATAAAGGAATTTAATTTTTGATAGACAGTTAGTTCCTTAGCTCCAGAGCAAACATTCTCCTTCTGAATAAGGTTTCCATAGCAATAACATTAACAGTATCATTGAATACCAAGCAAAGGTCTCTGAACACATACCACGGCAAGATGGCAGGGTACGATCACACTCAAGAGACATAAGGAAGCCAAACAGACAGATTGTGGCTTTTAGGAAACCTTTTCAAGTTTATCCTCTTTAGGAGCCCTTCATTTTAAACATAAATCTTAGTGAGAGATAGAAAAATACCCTCTCACTTCCCTTGGGAAAAACTGCACTTTGAAGCAGCATAGCAGTATGTGACATCCTCTCTCACTGTGTTGTCTCCACACGTATTTAGGCCCAGACAACAGCTCGCAGCGTGGTGGAGGGAGGTGTTATCTCCCTCTATGCTGTGCTCGCTCAGAGCATCTAAGTCCTCCCAAGGCAGCCGTATCATCGGGAGCGGGGAGAGCCGCGGCCTCCGTCCTCCGAGCCCAGCGCGGCTGGTGCGGAGGCTGCCC